CATGGCGAATGTTGCCCCACCCCTTCGAAATGAATGAGGTGAAAATTCCTCACTTGGCAAATCTAAATATTTTAGAATTTTCCGCAAAAATTCAGTAAATCTTTGTGCAGTTAGTGGTACTAGCTGCCCGTTATTATTTTTGAATGACAACAATGGATCTGTTGGCGACATACCTCCTTGTGCGCGTAATGAGAGGAAGGCCTGAACTGGGCATAGCACTGAGTCCCGAACACTTTTAACTGGCACAGTTGTGCTCTTTCCAATAAACTTGTCAGTCTTTAAAAGTGGGACCGTCACCATCAGTACCGTGCCGGACAATCTCACTGAACCATAACGAATATATGAAGTGTTACCTTTTGCCCAAAACAAGTTGCTTCTTCGAAGCAATGTAAAGAAGGCGAGAACACAAGCACACCAAAACGATGCTCTGCAATTAACCGGAAGTAACCATAAGTGTGCGTGCACAGAAACCAAAACCTCAACCTTAATGCCAGCTTTGCGGTTTGGTGCTTCCAAACGCAACCTTTTCAAACCCGTCAGCGCCCGTTGAACTGAGTGGTGCTGTATTTCTGGGGCTGGATGACCAAAATTATTGTGCAGGCTGGCAACCGCCGAAAGATAATTAACCACCGATGAATATTCCATTGATCTTGATAAGTGCGCAACATACAACGCCAAAGTATTCGGTTCAGCTGGCACCGCTACTAACTTAAACCTTTTACAGAACGTCTGAAATCTCTCCCATTGCACACTGCGCGTCTTTAGCGATTTCGGTGCAAAGGCGGAAAGCTGTAATCGCTTCAATGTTGCGCGAAGATTCATCATTTGGATACCTGAAAAAACACTCTTTGAAAACCTTTACGTGACTTTCGGCTGAACCAAACAAACTAATAAACCGTTTGGACTGTGCCTCTCCTTCGGACAACCTACTAAGAGCGTCTGCCATAATATTATTCACACCTGCTACGTGTCTTCCAGAGACTACAAAATTAAAATCACAGGACGCATAAAAAACCAATTTTAACCACTTCAAGGCCTGACTGTTTGCAGTAGTGCCCCGATTGATGAAACTTACAGTAGAAGCATTGTCGCTTACAATAACCACCTCACAGCCACGGAATAAAGAATAATGACACCATACCAAAATGGCGACACAGGCTGCCACTAATTCAAGAAAATTAATGTTCTGTAGTAAAGCTTTATGAACCGCTGGTGTTGGCAGCCAAGTCGGTAGTAGTGACTTGTCTACAGGAGCAACACCGCTAGACCAAGCGCCTGCTACATAACTATTCCCCATTACTGCACCGAAACCGACTAACGACGCATCGGTATTGATGAAAACTCGACGCCGTACATTTCCAAACGTCGGGGGACAAATCCCGTTCAATTTCGGGGCAACCACTATCCACCAGAGCAGTTCGTATTTTATAATAGCAGTTACCCTTGCCCTGTGATGACTTTCTTTCAACGCGTTCATGAAATCAATAAACAAACGGGAAAACGTACGCGCACCTCGCACTGCTCGTGACGCGAAACGCAAGTGACCAACCAACTGCTGCAGTTCTTTCTTTGTTACCTTTTCGCGTTTCAAGAACAGTTTGCACGTACTGACGATCCTCTCAACTTTATCTTGCGGAAGTTCTACCGTTTGCAGTTTGGAATCTAAAATTAAACCCAACAACTGCACACGCTGGGTCGGCAGAATGACCTTTTTCCAGTTTACTGGAAATCCCAAATTTATTAACAACTCAATTATTTTGTTTTGCGCTGCGGCACATTCTTCCGCTGACCACTTAATAATTAAAAAATCGTCTAAGTAAGGAATAACAATTAAACCCATAGCACGAGCAACTCGCGCTAACGCGCATGAAATGCGGTGAAATATTGCTGGGCCACATGCCAGACCAAAACATAAACAATTGTCGATAAAGTATGAATAATGTCCGTCAAGTAGCCACTTAAAACCTTGGAGTTGTCTGTGCGCCGGAAAAACCGGCACTTGCCGGTACGCGTTTTTTATATCAACGATACAATAGAAACAACCGTACCGGCTGAGCGAAACCGCGTCGTCAACGCTAGCAAAGGAGAATTGTTCCGGGGTCATGTAAGAGTTTAGCGAGTCGCAGAACGGCCTACTACAATCAGTAATAGGACGTGGTACATCCGTGTCTTTCTTTGGCACGGCCCCGATTGCGTGCACCCTTATCGGTTTCATTGACTGCCGGGTTATTTTTCCGGATCTCAACTCATCGCGAAAAATTTCGTCTAAATAAGGCTTATTTGCCGGTGATAGAGCACTTTCATAATTTTCACATTCTGCCGGCTGAACCGTGATACCATCTTCGATCAACCGAAAACCGTTAGCAATACCATCAAGAATAAACTCTTTGTCACAATCATTTGCCAAGCAATTTTTCCATTCATTAAGCTTTCGTGAAAGCGGACTACATTTAATAACTTCATCGCTTGCACACAGGCTTGCGTAATCACAACCATATTTAATATTCTCGCTACCACTCCCTGAGCTTCTGTCACTTAAGTTATTACAATGATGCGAACCATTAATAACGTTAGCTGTCAAATCATTTGAAACACCAATACTATTTCCAGAAACAATAGTATTAGAAGCAGAAATAAAAACATCATTCATCAAAAACAGTTTGTCAGTACCATTATCAATGCTTGATAACAAACATCCGGATCCAGCCCCAGATTCAAACGCCGTTGCGGCCTCCGCGTCCGTTTCCTTCCTGACCGCCCGAGCAGTCGTACCAAGTGTGACCTTTGCGGAGACAGGTGCCACACACGTGCTTGTAGTACGTACAATCTTCTTCTCCGTTGTAGCAACGACCTTCATTCCATGCCCAGCACGGACGTGTTGGTCTGTTGCCGGTAAAACCTTGAGATCCGGCATCCGTCTTTGCTCCATTCATAGGCTGAGTGCAGGACAACCATCAGACCTCGTTATACTCAGATTCTTTCATAGAATCTTTCTCATAACATAGCGTATCTTTAACTTTTAAATTTTGTTTGGCCACGCCCTACTGACCATGGAAGATGAAATTATTTTTTTAGGTATGCCCTATTGTTCCTCTGTCATCCTGCAAAAAATTATATTTTCTGAGAGGGGGGGGGAGCGGTGACGCGTCCCTGGTCAGTAGCATTTGTCCATATTGGTTTGCTTGCAGAAATGACCTACTCCCTATTTAGTCTCTTCCTATTGCTTAGTTGGATGGTTTATTGGGAATTTACCAGAATAACGGTTTTTTGTGCTGCTGGGTTTTCTTGCAGCACTTAATATCTTTTCCTGTTATCCTCTTGCGTTGCGAAATACGAAGAGAGCTTGTAGTCATATAACCAGCACACGATGACTTTGGCAAACAAAATTGCTGAATTACTGAGTACTGATAAATTCGCTATATTATATAACAGCGCTTCACATATATACTGTATATTATTTTCAAATAGCCGACTGTGTAAATGTAAAACGAATGAATGCTTCGATTCTATAAAAAAAACACTGTTACCACCGAATGCAGGTGAGTTCAATAAGAATAACAACGCCAGCCAAACATAATTTTTATCAACAGATTGTCTGCAACAGCGAGGGCATCGCGATAATTGTAGTCTGTCATAAATTTTTCAAAGGATCTCCGTATTATGTCAGTGCAAGCAGCCGGATGATACTGAACTAAGAGTCGGAAAACATAATAATTTTGATGAAACTTCAAAATCAAATTTTACGTTATCATAGTGATACATTTATGCTTCTTCTTTATTTCGATTCATAATTATGACAGTATTAACCAGACACTACTGCTACAAAATTAGGTACTACCAAAACATCCAATACCATCATTAGCGTTATTGAACTGTTTAACACGCGGCAAAGTGCCCAAAACTGCCGCCGCATTACCACGAACAACGGCAATGCTGAAGCGCTGTTTCAAAAACGACCATCCGGACGTGTGATACATTTGATTATACAGCGATCAACAAGCTGGATGCCTGCATAAATGCAGCAGACCATGTCCCAGTTGTTATCAAGGGTGAGTGTGCGGTCGCTGTAAGACAAAGAAGGTACCAAACAGACTTCACGAGATTGGGCAGGCAGTGGAGTTATTAAACACTGTACAATGCAAGCCAGTTCTACCGTATTACGGCCTATATCTACGAGAGCGACCAGAGCAGAGCGGAAGCTGTCATCGTTTTCTTACTTTTATCATGCGCTTAACGACATTAAAAGTCTTACAAGTTTTTTTTACAGCGATAAAATTAGCCGTACAAATCAGTTTCTGTCGCTGTGTATTAAACCCACCATGCAACACTTCTGAAAAAATGACAGTGCAAATGAAACCGTAAAAGGCACCTCTTTCGTTACAGAAGCTGTGGCGTTCTCGCGATTTCCTTCCATTCTGAATTGATTACTTCATCTGATCATGTCCACTCATAGAGAACACGTGTGCACAAGTGAATTTCTTTTCGACTATGCTTTTTATTAAAAGTTAAGGTGAACCACTAAAGCACAGCTATTTATTTTTTGCGAGAATCCTTATGATCAGAATCGTTCTGCCCGTCAATAATTTGGCAAGCCACGCAACCTTCTCGAACTATTAACAAAGTGCTAATGCAGACCAGGTAGCTGGGATACTGTGAAAGCATTTAATATCTCGGAAACAAACTGGCCATCATGTTCGATTTTGCCGCGTACGTGAACCTCTGCCCTTAACCTATAGTAGTAGTGAAGCGATATATTACAAATATATAGATACTTATAATAGGTACATAAAGCGGTATATATAATGCTCAGCTAGAATGTCATAATTTATAAGGTACGAATAGCAAAGCTAGTTGCACAAAAAACAAATTATTGACGGTGGCAACATGTTAAGAATAAAATAAAAAGTAAGTAATCTTAAGTAAGTAATAAGTTTTTGTGTAAGTAATCTGGCAAAAAGCCGGTATGTTATTTCAGCTACTGTATATCTTACCGACCCGATTTTACGGGCACAAACGGTTTCTGTCTTATTTTAAATCGATTTTGAGAAACTCACGTTGATATAGAAAAAAATGGCGAAGCTTAAAGCGGTGCAAAACAAGCCTGTAAGAGAGCATGCAAGTAAACATTTAGCAGTTTGCGTATGATCATTAAGCCATATGCCGGATCATCTCCCCTTATAAGCATCACGCGTACTAACGAGTACTGTAATGAGCTTGCATGTAGCGCACTTAAAATCCATCAGTGTATAGACTGCCCAAGCAAAGCGTGGAATTTAAGTTTGAATTAGCGGTAATCATCGGGACAAGATACATTGTACGAGAACTCGTTGCCAGTCGAAATATTTTCCAACGTCAGGTTTTTAGAACAATCCACGCTGAAGACATCCGTGCGATTCCCAGTCCGCTTGACAGCTTCGGAGAAATAGCTTCCGATTCTGAACACTTCGCCGGGTTCCTTTTCTTCGATCAAATATCTTTTCTGTTTCAGAAAACTGCGTAACCAGGCAGATGAGCAGTCACAGTGCAGTTTCTGTAGATAGTCGAGATAACCAGTTACGACAGAATAGTAGGCTTGGCTACGATTTTTTGGACTAAAGAATGCCAAGATCAAATTTTTCTCCAGGACCAAGGTGCGCAAGTGGGGCAAATCCGTGAAGGTGTCGGGCTCCAAAGTGTCGATGCTGGATAAATCGAACACAATCTGGCGAAGTTGCGGCAGACGACTGAAATCGGATTTCTGAATATCTAGATGTCGGCAGCTATAAATAGCTAAACTGTGGAGGTTAGGAATTGTACCCAGTGTATGTATCCTGGAAGTAGTATTCGGCGCATAACATCCCGTAACGGTCAAGCCTATCGTGTGGTTGCGGATAGGTTCAACGACAGTAACGGTAATCAAATTCTCTTTAAGGGGGAACTCAAATAAATCCAGCACTACTGCGCGCCGCGGACTGATCTCCCTCACCCGTTTGATGGTTTTAATTACTAACGAACGAGGTTTGTAGAGACATGCGATCTCCACGTACGTGTTCAGCATCATGAGTCTGCGAGGGGTTTCATCATTTATTATGCAGTAATCGGAGTGGGGAATCAGCGCACAAATAGCATCTTCCGCTTCAAGGTTGTCGTAGGTGATGCATTCTCTCACCGTTAGCAAATCTCTCCGAAAAGGATATTGCGCCACTACTGCAGGTGTCACATTGTGGGTTGAAGTTACATTTGGTGAGGTGCAACCAGAGTCCGCAAATGCCCACAAAGCTGGAAATGTTGGAAATTAAAAGAAAAACAGCGGTCACTTATCCTTGGTACAAACAATGTACAGAGATTTAAAAGAGTAATTTCGAAGAGATTTTTGTACCTACGGTACAACAAAGGGAACTTTCCTTAAAGGTTTATGTTTCCAATCAAAGCATTTTAAGTTGTACGAATACAATACTCGTCTTACCAAGTTTGTTTCGGATGCAGAAAAAAACAAGCAATCCACATTGAACTGCTTTCATGTTGCAGTCTCTAACTTGCATTTTACATGCATTCACCGGCGGCAACGAACGATAATCGACGAAGAAGTTTCATGTGTTAAACTGTGTTCAGATCCATCGACTATTATCACAACAATGCCGAAACAGAAGTAAGCTTGTACTCGCAAGCTAAATCTAGCCTTCGGCGTTCTCGACGAAGCGAACACTTTGGCAGTTTTACCCAGTTAACCAACACCTGGCTGCTTTTCTTTGCCTACAGCACAATAACAGAACGGACTATCACATTTACCCATCTTTCACTTTGCCGCACAATCGGGTATAATTATCTCGGATACGACGACGAGACAAGTTGGCTGGATAAACAGCACCAAGTGGCAGTAACAAAAATTGCAGCGACAGCTATGCCGAATTGAGTGTATGCGACAGGGCGACCGCGTGCGGACGGCAGTTTGTGAAAACTTACGAGTGTCCGGCAGTTACTTTTTATGTTGCTACGAGATGTGAATGACGACTTTGAAGGCCGCTCACTCAGTTCTTGTCCTGGTAAAAAGGTCGACAACATAAACAGGGAATGCAGAAAAATGTGCTGTACAAAGGAATGCAAACTGTCTCCTGACAAGACAACGATCACAGGCTATTAACCGGAGCCATGCGGATTATCTCTAATTTAAACGAAACTAAAAATTGTCTTTCTGTTCGTTACGAAAGTATGTATGAAATGACGCCAAATAAGGAAGCAAAAATAACGTCATAAAAAGTGAAGGTGATAAAATCTATTTACTGTAGAATGATTTTGCACATGTATCATTTCAAATGCGCCAGCGTCCTGTAATAATTTCCGAAGCAAAGCTAGGAAATTATAATTTGGATTAGCATATCATTTCATTAGAGCATGATGTATTGTACGAAAACTCATTGCCTGCCCAAATGTTTTCCAATGTCACCTTCTTGGAGCAATCCACACTGAAGACATCCGTACCATTCCCAGTCTTCCTGACAGCTTCGGAGAAATAGCTTCCGATTCTGAACACTTCGCCGGGTTCCTTTCCTTCAATCAAATATCGATTCTGCTTAAAAAAACGGCGCAACCAGGCAAACGAGCAGTCACAGTGCAGAGTATAAACATAGTCGATATAGCGATCGTTGGAAAAATTGCTGGTTCGGTTAGGATTTTTTGCACTAATCAGCGCCAAGATCAGTTTTTTCTCCAATACCAAGTTGCGTAAGTGAGGCAAATCCGTGAACGTGCCTGGCTCCAGTGTGTCTGTCGTGGATAAATCAAACACAACCTGACGAAGTTGCGGCACTCGATCGAAATCCGATTTCTGGATCGCTAGATCACGGCAGCCATGGAGACCAATACTGTGAAGTGCAGGAATAGTACCCAGGTTATGTATTCGGGACGTAGTATTCGGCGCGTAACATCCAGTAACGGTCAGGCCTACAGTTTGGTTGCGGATTGGTTCGACAACGGCAACGGTAATCAGATCCTCTTTGCCAGGAATTTCTAACAAGTCCAGAACTACTGCACGCTGCGGACTGATCTGGCTCACCCGTTTGGTGGTTTTAATTACTAACGCACGAGGTTTGTATATGCATGCGATCTCCACGTACGTGTTCAGCATCACACGTCCGCGTGGCGTTTTGTCATTTACTGTACATAAATTGGAGCCGGGGATTAGCTGGCACATAGATCCATTGGCTGCAAGGTTGAAGTAAAGGATGCATTCTTTCACCGTAAGCAAATGCACTGCGAAACGATATGGCGAGACTACCGACGGAGCTATGTAAGTTAGGTTGTATGATGTACAATCAGAGTCCGCGTGCGCCGGCGCACCTAAAAATTTTAAAACCGATGAGAAGTGTGACGATCGTTTCGTATTCTGTATGAAGAGAGATTTGTGACGGCATATTTTTAAAACTTTGCTATTCGAATAAAAAACAGTTTACTCTGAACGGTGTCGCTTAATTATAGACACTTCCCGGCAATAGCCCTACCCCAGACACAGCTGGTCGGTATGGTTTACCAAACTTACTTCCGATACAGAACAAAACAAATAATCCGCACCCTATTGATTGCATGTTGCAGCATTAATCAGCGTTTATTACATAAGCGGTACCAAATATTTTCCGTATTAAACAAAGTTTCATATGTAATAGTCCATCGATTATTATCAAAATGTTGCCGAACCAACAGTATTTTGCCCGCAAGACAAATGTCGACATGGATATCCCCAGCGAACCGAGCAGGCAGACTGAAAATAAGGTACCCAACACTCGGCAGCACTAATTTTTCTGTGTGCAATGCACACATAATGTGATAGTCCTTTCACTCAATGTACACGGTGCACTGAGTGAGCGGACTATCACATTATGCCATCTATCATTTAACCGCGTACTTCTATCTGATATAGTTCACCAGTAAAAGCACCCAGGACATATATTGACAATTACAGGCTTTTTGAGTTTATAACTCGTTAATTATCCGGGCGAGAGTGGAGCTGCTCATTCAGCTTAGAGCTTTTTTGAATTAATAATAGGTTAGTGGCTGTGTCGAATCGACCATTTTCCAAGAAGCCCCCTCTTTATAGTGGAAGCACGTCAATCAACCGACCTAGTACCCAATTCGCTGCCCGACAATTTGCTGACCGACATGTTACTGACTTACACAACTGGTTGACCGATAAATTGTTGACCTACAGTTTCCTTCTGTGCAAACTGTTGACCGATGTTTTGTCGAAACATTTTTGCTGACCGACAACTTGCTTTTCGGTTCAATGCGCTGATTTTTAAGTTTTTCTAACTTCTCGTTGTTTTTCTTGGGTTTATTAGGTTTCCTGGGTTTCTCTTGCGTTTCTTTGTTTTCATAGGTTTTTTAAGTTTTTTAGGTTTCTTAGATTTCTTAGGTTTCTTGGGCTTTTCACGTCAGCAACATATCGCTAGCATGTCGTCGGTGTTCACAAAAAGTCGTTAAGGGAGAATTCGTTCAGCGAAATGTCGTTTCAACAAACTTTCGGGTCACCAATTTTATTTAGTGGGTCAGCAAAACGTCGCCAGCAGTTGTCGGTCAACGACTCAACATGATGGTCGTCAGCGGGTTGTTGGTGTGCCCTTTAACGTGCCAGCAGAGGACATACTTGCGCCTGATTGGTGTGATGCTTCACTTCGCGATCTGTTAACAGCTTTTAGGCTTTGCTCAGACTGAACCCTTCACGCTGCTATGTGCCTTCAAGCGCATGCGCTCACGCTATCAGTTCTTAAATTTAGCGATTTACATTCATTCGATTGCGATTTATTTTTCATTTAGCTATCAACAAACGTGAACGCGGACAATTCATTATGCTTTTTCCCATGCGCATCTTCGTAAATATGAGCATGGTAGTAGTAAATTCTCTGGCCCTGATTTTTTTTTCATTTTTGTTACCAGAAAAAAAAAACGGATACACCAGTGTGCCAATTGAAAACCAGTGCCAAATATTAGGAAACTCGGCCAGATAGTCTTGGCTGTTTTACAAAATGCTGTGGCCGGGCGGAATATATCACTTCATCAAATTGCCTGGTACCTGAACAAAATGGCGGGCTACGTGTTTAGTTTGTTTCTCGCAAACCGCTTGCCCCACTGCAACCTACTTACACTCGTTGGATAGACGATTTCATAGGCAATTAAAAACAGCTAATTATTTTCAAAAAAATTTAAAGCTGTCCGTTTTAAATGGCGGCAACAAAAGTCGTCTCGAAATATATTCTGGCCAGCTCGCAGAAGTTATGTAGAATTTTTCCGTCGCATTTCTTTCCGTGCTGGCTTTTCGAACAATTTCAACATTTTCGTCTAGAGAAATACGTATCGTTTTTAGCACTGAAAAAGTCCTGGACAGCTGCGTGCGCTGGACGAGTTATTCGCCAGCGCATTTTTCAACTTTTCCAAAAAATGCCGGTTATTTAATTGATTTGTTTAAGCATTTTCGTTAAAATTTTCGGCTGGATGACTGGTTGCAGCAAAAAATGCCGGTTTGTATTTTACAAGTGGCCCACATACTGCCCTTGCAGAAATAATGCTAAACCATATAATCTCTTTAAACAGTGGTCAGGAATTTGCTTTCGAAAACTCTACTTGCGGATTTCACGACAATTACTCGTGCGGACACAGTTGCGAGAATGTTCCTGTTTCCTACAGCAAAAAAAACCTAGAAGCAATCGCTCTGCCAGACAGAGTAACACGGGCTACATTAATTTCCTTAAACGAAAAGTAGCAGTTTTTTGTTGAGAAAAGGGTAAATTCAAATTTTCGTTTCCTGCCCAATCGGCAACCCCACCTACTTTTTCAAAACAATCAATAAAAAACTCAAACCTTTGTATAATGTCGGTTTAATTTAACTGTCATTTGCTGTAGACACTGCTCTGTCGAATAAAACTAAAACGATGTCAATCACGACAATCAGGCACCGGACGAACCCGGCACACTCCGGCAAAACAGACCGCCATTTTGTTCAGCCACCCGGTAAACACCAGAATAAATTTTTTTTACGCTGGCGGATTTTACTTGCTCTCGTTAAGAAAACATACGTATGCTTACAAAAATTAACTAATCGCAATTGATTTGATTGAACGCACCACAAATCACAAGAAACGCGTAGGTGTTTTCTGGTACAAATGTTTCTTGTAAAAATCTAATGGTACAAAATTCAAACCAACCTGAACGTCATCCAGCTTCAAGAACCTGAAACGTACAGATTTCGTCAATCTGAAGTGGGCATAATAATCAAGTCGAGCCGAAAGCCTGTTGATTTCTGGTACCGTGTTACTGCAAGTGTGCATAATGTTGCACACGCAAGTAAATTTTCGAGTGCCGTTCGCTGCAAAACAGCCACAATACTGACAAAAACGATCAGAATTCTAGCAAAAAATATGATCAGCCACTCAAGTGACTTCCTTACTCCAGGTTTCGGCTTATCTTCGTACCTTATGTACATGACAAATTACCAAAAAACCGGCCGTGATTATTGTGCCGGTTGCTGAATTGGCGCATCACGCAGACAAAACCACTTCTGTTCCTTCCGATATTTAAGCAAACTTCCAGAGTACTGCAAACCAGTATACAGATCTGTACATCTTTATGTTTGTCGAGTCTCCATAGTACGGCATTTCAAGTTTCTCCCGAGCTATTTTATACAGTAGTGCGACGCTTGTTAAGCACCGAATGGCAGCATTTAAAGCTGTTGCTGTGATCTTTGCTATCGCGCTGAACGGCTGGTTCTTGCGTGACTGGACAGTAACTGCTTATACTGCTCCACCAATCGAATACATCTTCGAGGTAAGCATCTCTTACCACTAGAAATGCCATTAGAAGTTTTTCTACTTTGAACGGTTTATTGGCCCGATTACCTTCCTACAGTGCGATAGCTCTCCTACTAACGAAACGTACAAAAAGATTACCGATCTCCGTGGCGCACGATGCAGTGAGCCGGTGACCACGCTAATTACTAAAGGAAGCCCGGATAACGTCAAGTATCAAGTCCATTACACAGTAAGTTCTGCCACGTATCGCGGCGAGGCGGCTAGCACCTCGGTCCCTTTGTCGGAGCGGGCAATCTGCCGACGCGGCAGTCTTTTGGACTACACTATGTCTCTAGCATAATACATCCCTTGTTGACGAAAATGTTTGCATTACAAAATCATTGCATTATATACAAGAAAAGCACGCCATAACCATGCTAATTTGGGAAATAATTTTGAAAAATTGCAACCTATCTGTACTTCGCGTTAAACACCTCATTCTGGCTTCGCAGCACAATAATTCGCGTGTTTTTTCTTAACTATTCAGTGCCAGACCCGAGAAGAACCAGTCCAGTGCAATGAAACTCCCAGGGACATCCAGTGCACAACGGGAGACCAGTGCAGGTGTTGCCTGAATGTTGCCATGGAAGCCCTTTGCCAGGACGAACGGCTATCACTACGGCGTTTTTTGCGTACTTGCAAAAGAGTCTCCCTGCCAGTGACGGATCCCCCAGCTGACCCCGCAGAGGACGAAGTGACGGTGATTTATGAGGTGCCAAGTGAGATAACTGCAACTACCGTTCCAACGGTCGGGAATCACGTGTCAGGTGACAGCGTTTGTATATTCTAGACCTTTATGCAAAACCAGAACACCAATAATACTAAATGTGCGTGTATGTATGACAGGTCGACCATATTGCCCCGACGGTAACGACAGTATTCTCGAAGGGAGCTGTTTCGTACCGGCGCTGATGATCGTGGTAGATAAGGGGAACTGTTTGCAAAAGATTACCGCTGGGGTGCCCACTGAAAAGGTGGCAGGCAGTGATTACACAGTCAACATCGCTTACTGGTCCTCGGGCCGGCATGAAACCTGGAACGGGCTGTCTCCTATTCCGGCAACTGCCTTTAACACCGCATTACGCGTTCTGGATGACTGCAACAAGTATAACGTATGCTCCAAATGCAAAAAACTACCGTTGGTGAAAGTTATAATCGAACAAGGATACGCAGTGCCTACAACCTTGGAGGAAGTTGAGACCAACGATACGACTACGCCCTGGGCGCCGATTCCCTCCGCGTGGAAGCAGCCTATTTATCCTACGCATTATTGAGAACCGCTTAATTATTACAGCAGCGATACGCATATGTTTTAATTGGGTGCCATGGCTTCCTTAAAATATTGATAATAGATTTGATTATAGAATTTAAATGAAACGTCATGTGCTGTTGGAATGAACGAGTATATTGCAAGCGCCGCTCTAGTAAGCGCATGGTCAAGTTAAACTCTGCCAGCATCTAAAAGTTGTTCAAAAGTTTTAGAAAAGGAAATAACAGCCCTGTAAGTGGCAGTTTGTTAAGGCCAGCATAGTGTACAAATGTAGCATAACAAGTGGCTAACATAATAAACCCATCTGTTACGGCAAACGACTGACTATTACTAATACGGTGTGGCTATTGAGAACGCCTCGCACAATATTTTTGGCTATGCCCACGAACAAGGCCGTAGCGAGGTCCGTGGGATGGGGTAGGCGCAATTTGGCTGCGCCATTTGTGCCCGCTTCGAAGGTCCATCTGAGCCCACTGCGCCCATAAATTTCGCGAAGTGGCTATGCGCAGGAGTTTCGTACTGCGGTGCTTTACTGTGCAAGTGTGCATCGTACGTTACATAGCAACCTGTGACCGTTGATAAGTAGGTACGAACCGTACGATAGTTGATTGCATTGCTGGCATGGTATAATTTTTTTTTTACCTTCCCTGAAATTTGTTTGGCCCCTGGGGGCCGGGGGGTTCTCCCATCGCAGCCTGATGCTAATATTGGCACGCGCATTTGCGCAAAAATCTGTAATGGTAGGAGGCATCCAAAATCGGGATTTTTCTACTACATACAGTACATAATTATGCGAATGAGTTTCTATGTTTAAAACACCAGACTCTGGGGTAATACATCATCCTGCGGCTACAGTATTTTCCATTGTACCACCGCTGCTACAACGGCGAATTTTTGGTTCCGACTTACTGCAGCGAGTGCGGTTGTATGCGCATTGTGATGAGTGTTCTTGCTGTATTACGGCTGTGAGGCTGATTTTAAACCTGATGGATTTATCTGTATATAAAGAATGCACAGAGTCGAAAATTTACACAACAAATGCACAGTTTTCCGTGTAGGCCGAAATATATTTATTAATTTTTACTGAACTGACAAGTTCTTAAAAAAAAACACATAACCCAATACTGCCGACATAAAAAGCGAATGCTGCAAAGTAAGTCTGAAGAAAAACAGGAAAACGTTTTTACTTGTTTATCAACGTCAGAATGCCAAATTAATTTTAACAGCGACCATATTTGTTGTGCAGCAATATAAATGACCCTGTTTAGTCCACTGCCCTACGACTTCACTACGAACTCACAGAAATCCAAATCTAGCGAACTTTTACACCGAAAAGGTTAATCGACCCATCTTTTTAATGAAGATTCTCTTACAACTGTTAAACAAGTTTTTTTTCTCTTGTAACAAATTAACAACGATATTTTTGTTAGTATCTGCGCAAAAATACAGTTAACACATTTTCAAAAATAAAATACTTATCATTAAATGCAGAATTAAATTTCCAAATTCTAAGGAAAAGAAGGGGAATACCTAGTGCTGCTGCACGGGAATCGCGCCATTTTGGTCCTTATCCACGAAGGCTAGAGAGTGATCAGCTAGCAGCATTACCGGCATGCGTCTGCTCTCCACAATCTTCGATTTGCCCACCAACGCTTTAAATTTCTACAAAAATCCACATATTAATTCAAATAAAAAAATTGAATGCTTTCTAATTAAATCAACAAATTAGTCGCTAATTCAAAAAAGAACACTCCCTTATCTTTCACTGCAAACCAACGGAAGGCGGCGGGATGCGGCATGAAAGATCCCATGCGATTAGTGGTGACCTTTGGATGTTCTCCGTCGAAAGTCGACGTTTTAGGCCATCAACTGGATGGAATAATGGCTACTGAGCTACTAGACTAGTAAAAAAGTCTAGGCATAAACAATATTCTCATTCTTGTATTGCAAAGTGCAGCTGCGTTCTAATCCCGGTTCGATTTCGTAAAAAGGCATTCATGGATTAAATGTGCTGAGCACCGTCAAAATACGGAGCCAGGACGGATGCGTTTTAATTGTAACATTTCGTTGTAATTTTACGTAGTACTCCAGACGTACCAATTAACGTCAAACACTGCGCGATAACTCTACTTAAACATACTGTCGCCGTCACGTCTCGGGTCTGCACAACACACGTCAAAAAAGTGCTACCTGGCGAACCGGGAATGCAGTAGGGATTTATGTTCTCGTACGTACTTCACATGCATTTCATTTCTCAAAATTATTTATAAAACCGTCCCACCGATACCGGTTTCGGCAAAACTGGCTTCGGTAAAGCTTTCAAGGTGACCTTGAGAACAATAGCAGTGCCAGTTGCTTGTAACATTTATTTAAGTATTAAGTATGTACTATAATAAATTTGTAGTTATTTTATTTGCAAACATGCTGAATTTTAATCGCCTGATTGCTGTTCAAAATGTTCATATATATATATATATATATATATGTATATATATATATATATATATATATATTATATATATATATATATATATGTATATATATATATATATATATGAATGCATATATGTGCATACAGCAATAGCCCGATATATAACTTCATACATGTAAATAAAAAATAATGTATATATGTATGTATACATTATATATTATAATATATGTATGTATATACATTTGGCATTATCGAACGTTAAAGCTCAGCATGTTACAAAAAGTACCAATATCAAATAAATGTTGAAAACGGCAATTGGTCTGAACAATACCGATGCCATATCACTCAAATAATTGCAGTGAATAATGAAAACAATCGACTCCGTGCTGCAGATATTTTGACGTGTGAACGACGACATAGTGTTATCAGCGCGCAAGTTAGTGCACAGTGGGAATACGCTCTGGACTCCGATGAGTGGTCGTACACAAACAAACTACTTCCGCTAGGTACTGCGGATGTGCCAAACGAAAGTTACCGAAACCCAAACACTCAGGAACTTCCCAAATGTTTAATCAACAGAACAGAACGCACTTCTACCAGAAGGTCACACCAACATTCTATTAAAAGCTAACCTCTTCTGAGTCTTCAGACTCTTCTCACACGACAGACCAAAGACTTGAACACTCTCCGCAACACACTGAACATGCAACGAGAATCGCTAATGTAATTAGTGATCAAATGCGTTAGATAAGAACAGCAATCGTACGTAACAGAACAGATAACACGTACGTCACAGCACGTACGTACGCAATACACGCTTTCTACGCATAGCGTGTTAGTATATTACTTTATAGGTAAATGATTGGCCACACGAGTGGTGATCGAGATAGAAATGCCATAAAAGAGGGTGATGTAGTCGAAAATTCAAGAATTTCGTTACGTAGCATTAAAACGGCGCCTTAAGCTAATCAATTGCCCTTTAACAAATTTTTAAAAAGTTTTGAGCCATTTCCCTGCAGTTGCGTCGAATGGCTGTTGACAGTGAGAACGAAGGTGCAGGTGCTCGGGTGTCCGCACACGGAAATTTCTTAAATTTACCTCGGGCCGATGTCCTGTTTTTTCTTCCATTACCTTTTGAAGTAATACAAATACGAAATTCAGTTACCGTAATTATCGAATTTGCACCTCGCCCCACAATAAGGCCCCCCTCCGTAATAAGCCCCCCTTTTCACAACTCGTTTGAAAAATAGCGCCTCCCCCGAATTTACCGCCCAGGGGGGCGTTATTAAATGTTAAGCGCCACAAAATGATTGAAATACCGGAAATTGCTTCATAATCATTGTTATGATTTAATGAATAAACAGTAAACGGTCACAAAAATATTGCGGTTCTATTCTCCAGAATGCTGTTTGCAAGGTTGTGAAACTGCAAATAACGATATCTACTGCGTTCAATTTCAACAGAACAGACGCGCGGTTGTTTGAATATAACGACCCCCTCCGAAACATATACTGTTTGAAAAATTGTAGCACCCCCCGAAATAACGTCCCCTCCCCGAAATAAGCCCCCTCCTCCAGGACCTTCGAACTATTTGCACCCCAGGGGTGCAAATTCGATAATTACGGTATTCAATAAAACCAAAACTGGTGTTGCAAGATACCCGTAATATTAATTTTGTAAAAGTTTCGTTTGCAATAAGTGCTACACGGGTGACGCTCCAAGTTTGGGCAGTTCCCTCAAAAATTGCTAAAGGTCATCTGCCAACAAAATACTAATAGTGCAATTATTGTGTGATCACCGTATGTTTGAGCAGCATTTTTTGCACTACGGTTTGTCGTGCTAATGGCGTAGTTTGAATTACAGCGAGATTTCAGTTGAACCACACGTCCACGTGCATAGAAATGCTGCTCGACTCATGATTCGTGATAACCCTTCCGCTTTTAAAATTTGTTTAATAATTACGCTAATGCTATTTTTCGAAATTGATAATTGTGGGCTGTTTGTCAATCAAAGATCTTGAAAAAAAACGTATAATATCGATCTGTTTAAACAAAGGATTCGTGACCTCGGCGATATTCTTACTGGCGCAGTGACAATGAAGGGAGTTGCACTTTGCACGTTCGCAGGGGAACCACGAAAAGTCGGATGCATTCATCTTAGGCAAAATCTCATTCAATAACTGTAAGCGTTGAACAATAACTTTATCCCGCTTAAGCACGTTTCGGCACCAACCGAAACTATTTTTGGCCACCAATCACGCCAATGCTTTTCGTTGACCCGTATCATATACCTTTAGGGTCGCTCTACACTTTATAGAAATTTCCGTGAAAAAACTTTCTTTGGGAAACTTTCTAGAAGGGCAGGTATAAGCGCTCTGAAAGTGACTGCTAAAACATTCCTATATTTGCCGGTTGGCAGCTTGTTTTCTTTTCAACTTTATCATTTTTATCATTTTTTTTTCAAAATTTCAACTTTATCATTTTTATCATTTTTTTTTCAAAATTTCAACTTTATCATTTTTGGATTCACAGTAAAAAGTTGTACTGGAAAACCGCAAAACGAAAAGTAAACCGACGTGCACAAATGTTTTTGATTTTAGTTTATGGAACGGCCCGAACTTGGCGCGGCACCCTTGTAGTTTAACAGTTTCAGTTTTGGACTTCAGGAGAAGCAGTTCTGTTTAATTTTCAGAGTGGTCAGTACAGATTAA